CTGAAATACATAAACTGGTGCACATATACATGGGGAACTTCACTCAAAGGCCCAAGTGAATGCAGATTATTTGCTAGTAGCCTTAAAATTGTTAAAATTAAAAATAAAAATCACAAAACAACTCCCATGACTTTAAACAAAGAGTGTGCAGTGTTGTGGGAAGAAACAAGGGAAGGAAAATGGTAAACCTCCCAAGGAAAAGGTTAAAAAATCCCCAAAACAGAACAATTCAGGTAAAAAACAGCTACCACCAACCCCATTAATCATGGATACTCACCACTTGGTAAAACTAAATGGTATCTATTTGCTGTGAGGATCAGATCCAAATATCTGTATGTGTGCTACACAGCAGTATTATAGTGTTTCTTCTCAGTAATTTGCTTCTCCCAAGGAAACACTTGAAACATGATCGTATTTTGTGGACACAGATACCAGTGCCACTTCTTTGGAACAGGACTAACACCTGTCAACTTCATTCGAAGATGAAATAGGTCTGTGCCTTTCTAGCTAAGCAGGAAAGAAAAGCCTTTTGAAGGCAAAATATGAAACTCCACATCATCAGGTACAGGTTGTTACTGACTCAAAGACAGGTTATGAGAAAACTCAACAGGAAGGGCTTTTCACAGCCTTTTTCAGTTTATTTCAGTTTTTGGAAATAGACTGGAACTCTTACTCAAAATTTTGAGATCCCAGGCTGACTGACTGACTCACTCCCTCTTCAAATAAAAGCTGTTGTCACCAAAACTGGGGTAAGCGACATTTTTAACTGAACTTTTGTAACTCTGCCAGCTGTGGAAAAAATTCGTTTAGTAATAAATGATGGAAAGTACAGTGGAATATGGAAATATGGAAAGAGTCACGCTTAAAAAAAAAAAATCTATGGCTGTAATTACATATTGTGGTCCCAAAATAAGGACTAAAACCTTCTATGAAAAGATCACAAACCAGGAAATACACTAAGCCACAAAAATGCCATCATTATGTGGCTACTCTGTATTTAAGGTTAAAGATGTAACAACAGCACACACGAAGTATAGATACGTATTCAATACTCTTCAAGTATATAACAGTTCTTACTACAATCCATACTGTTTGTAAAGTCTATTCTCTGGATTAGATGTTTACAACCAGTATCCTTGGAAACATGGAACAGTTTGGGTTGGAAGGGACCTTAAAGACCACCTAGTTCCAACCCCCCTGCCATGGGCAGGGACACCTGGCACTAGACCAGGTGGCTCCAAGCCTCATCCAGCCTGGCCTTGAACACTTCCAGGGATGGGGCATCCACAGCTTCTCTGG